GGGCTAGAAGTGTAGCTCAGTGATAGACTATTTGCCTAGCATGTGCAAGGCCCTGGGTTTGGTCCCTAGCACAGCAAATAAATAAATAAAATAAAAATAAATAATTCAACTCCACATTCTTCCCATTCATTTAAATCTCCACTGCATATATTGAAACATGTAGGTAATAATCATAGTGATAATAATACTTTTCTATTATTGACAAATCATAATTAAAATATGTATGGATTATTTGATATATGTGTGTGTGTGTAAAATGTGGCATGACTAAGTCAAGCTAACATGTCCATCACTGTACTTACCTGTCATTTTTCAGGATGAGACATTGGGAATTATTCTTACTTTGAAATATGTAGTGCATTACTACTGCACAGTGGTTACCCTGCTGTGCAATTCATAGTGATAGTGATTACAAGTACTTGTCAGGGTTTACCATATGTCCAGTAGTATTGCATGCACTTTATATGTGCTCTTTGTGAAGTAGAAACTATTTTTATCCTCATTTTATTTTTTAAATTAATATTTATTGGTACATTTTTGACATACATAATGATCACATTCATCACAGGGAATTTGTACCTGAATGTAATACATATATCTTAATTCTTTTTTTCCCATTCCCCTCCCTCCCTTCAACCCTTCTTCCTTTTCCTGTTTACAAAACTTTGTTCCCATTGTTTTCCTTCTATTCTATCTCTATTTCCTTCCTCCCATTCTTTTCCTTCCATTCTCTTTTTTCCCCTTTCCTCTTCTTTACTTTCCCCCTCCCCCTCCCTTGTTCCCCTTCTCATTTGAACATTTTCTTTCTACTTCCCAGTGTCTGTCCTCCATTTTGCTCCTTATTTACCCTTTGTATTTCTCACGCAAGAAAAACTGCAATATTTAAACATGGGTGTCTGATTTATTTCACTTAAAATTATGTTCTCAAGGTGCATCCATTTACTAAAAATGTTTCAAGTTTATGGGGTTTTTTTGTTTGTTTTTTGAGACAAGGTCTCAGTATGTAGTCCAGGCTGGTCTTAAACTCACTATGTAGCCCAGGCTGGCCTCAAACTTGTGGTGATACTCCTGCTTCAGCCTCCTGAGTGCTGGGATTACAGGCGGGTGTCACCACACCCAGCAAGTTTATCCTTCTTATGGCAAAATAGTATTTCATTATATGTAAAAACCAAATTTTATCCATTGATGGGCATATGAGCTGTTTCCAAGATTTAGCTATTATAAATTGTGCTGCTATAAACATAGGTATGCATATATCACTGTAGTATGATGTTTTTAATTCACGAAGATACCTAGAAGAGCTAGGTCAAATAGAACCTCTACTTTTAGGTTTTTGAGGAATCTCCATACTGATTTCTGTAGTAGTTGTACCAATTTACACTCCCACCAACAGTGAAGAAGGGTTCTTTTCCCCTATAGCCCCGTCATTTGCTATTGGTTGATTTCTTGATGATAGCCATTCTTTCTAGAGTGAGATGGAATCTCTGTTGCATTTTAATTTGCATCTCTCAAATGACCAGTGATGTTGAAGATTTTTTCATATATTTATTTGCTGTTTGTACTTCATCATCTGAGAAGTATCTATTTCAAATGTCCATTTTTGGATGGGTCTTTAAGTTTAGGGGGTCTGGTTTTTGTGAGTACTTTATATATTCGAGATACTAGTCTTTTGTCTGAGGAGTAGCTGGTAAAATTTTTTTCCTTTGTTTCTGTGGGTTGTCTCTTCACTGAGTTGGTGGTTTCTTTTGCTGTGCAAAAGCTATTTATTTATTTATTGCAAAAGCTTTTTAATTTGTTGTGTTCCCTGTTCTTGGTCCCTTGTATTTTCTGTGGGTTCGGGGTTTTGTTCATAAAGTCTGCCTACACCTGTGTCTTAAAGAGTTTTACCTATTCTATCTTCCAGCAGATTAAGTGTTTCTGTTTTAATATTTAGATCTTTGATCCATTTCGATTTTGGTTTAATGCATGGTGCAAGATATGGGTATAGGTTTAATCTTCAGAATGGGGAAAGCCTGTTTTCCCAGCACCATCTATTAAAGAGGCTATCTTTCTTTCAGTGAAGTTGTTTGGCTCCTTTGTCAAAGATAAGGTGGCTGAGTGTACTTGGAGTTGTTTCTGCATCCTTTATTCTATCCCATTGATCCGCAGGTCTGGTTTTTGTTTGTTTGTTTGTTTTTGTTTCTTTTTTGTTTTTGCCAGTACTATGCTGTATATATGACTAAAGCTTTGTGTATAACTTCAAGTCAGGGATTGTGATGTCCTCTGCCTTGCCGTAATTGCTCAAAGTAGCTTTTGCTCTTCTAGGTCTCTTTTGGCTCCATATGAATTTTAGGATTGTTTTCTGTAGTTATATGAGGTATATTATTGGTATTTGATTGGGATTGCATTAAATCTGTGTAACAGTTCTGGAAGTGTGGCTATTTTCACTGTATTGGTTGTGCCTATCCAAAAATAGGGGATGTCTTTCCATTTTCTGATATCCTCTCAGTCTCCTTTTTCAGAGTGCTGTAGTTTTCACTGTAAAGGTCTTTCACTTCATTAGATTGATTCCTAAGTATTTCATTTTTCTTGATGCTATTGTGAGAGGTGTTGTTTCCCTAATTTCTCTCTCACTGAGTTTGTTATTCGTGGAGAGGAATGCTATTGATTTTTGACTTAGTATTGTGCTACACTGCTGAATATGGTTGTTAAATCTAGGAATTTTTGTGGAATTTTGGGGGTCTTCTACATAGAATATAATGTGATCTGAAAATAATGACAATTTAAGTTCTTCCTTTCCTATCTTTATTCCTTTTCTTCCTTTCTCTTCTCTAATTGCTCTGGCTAGTGTTTCCGGAGCTATATTGAACAGGACATCCTTGTCTTATTCCTGATTTTATTTATTTATTTATATATTTTTTGGTACCAGGGATCAAACTTGGGACCTTGCACTTGCGAGGCAGGCGCCAGAACCACTGAGCTAAATCCCTGGCCCTATTCCTGATTTTAGAATGAAAGATTTCAGTTTTTGTCCATTTAGTATGATGTTGGCTGTTGGTTTGTCATAGATGGCTTTCATCAGATTGAGATAAGAGCCTTCTATTCCAATTTTCTGAAGGGTTTTTATTTTTATTATTTTTTTTTTTAATTTTTTTGTGCTGGGGATCGAACTCGGGACCTTACGCTTGCGAGGCAGGCGCTGGAACCACTGAGCTAAATCCCCGGGCCTGGAGGGTTTTTATTATGTATGGGTGTTGAACTTTGTCAAATGATTTTTCTGCATCTACTGAGATGATCATGTAGGTTTTGTCCTTGGTCCTGTTAATATAGTGTATTACATTTATTGATTTACATATGTAGTACCATCCCTGCATCCCTGGGATGAATCCTACTTGGCCATGATGTATAATCTTTTTGATTATTTGCTGTATTCTATTCAGCAGTATCTTTTTTGAGAGGGGTACCAGGAGTCAAACTCAGGACCTTGCACTTGCCACTGAGCTAAATCCCTGGCCCTCACCAGTACCCTTTTGAGGATTTTTACATCTGTGTTCACTGAAGAGATTCACCTGTAATTCTCTTTTTCTGTTGGATCCTTCTTTGGTTTTGGTATCAGGGTAATGCTTGCCTCTAGGAATGACTTTGGGAGTATTGGTCCCCTTTAACTTCATTAAAGATTTTGAGGAGTAATGGCATTAGATCTTTTGTAAAATTTGTTTATCTCCATTGTAGAGAAGAGAAAACTGGAGCTTAGAGAGCAAGTCTGGCCAAGTACACAGCTAGTAATAGGTAGGACCTATCTCACTTCTGGGCACTAATGTTTTCTCTTTAAAGAAACCTATCCTGGGGCTTGTTGCCTGGTTGGGGTCACCCTGACACACGCCCCTTCACCATCTCCTAGGAAATCCCCTTCACCTCTGTCTTGTGTCAGATAACCCTGTTTGGTAGAGCTTGTGTCTATTTCTTGGCTTACTTCCTCATTTTGTGGGGTCATATCCTCCAGGATATACTTGAAAATGGATGCATGACAGGTAAATTTTATGAAACTTTTTCTTTTTGTAGTGCTGGGGATGGAACTCAGGACCTTGCA